CACAACTTACCGAAAATTCACTCTGGAGAATTTGAAACTGACTTTCAAGCTTTCTATCAAGAAAGACAGCTATTTTCTCGAAGCTTTTTCTTTCGAATGGTAATACTGTACTACCATCCTGTAACAGTTCTCGAACAAGCGCCCTACGGGTGAGTGGTATATAAGCATTTCTATTGGAGAAATATTTGGACGCTAAAAACAAAGTACTTTAATGCAAACTGCGTTGTCGCTGGAGGATTTCGAATAGAGTCCAAAGATTCGACTACCTTTGATTTCCTGAATACACTGAAGATTGTAGATTTTGGAAAAAGTGGTATGGAGGAAAGCCTAATTTTTCTTTTCAAGTAAGAATAAGAAGTTCTTAAGATATCTTTCATTGTCCATTTACATGTGAAATAGTAGCGTAAGCATCAAAACCCGCGGTGAACTAATCCCATATCTTTGTTGCTAGCTTCTTGTTTATAATTTATTTGAACTTCTCCCGTTGCAACAGTAAAGATTGAAAAAAACGATTTTAGTTATGAATCAAAATCAGTAGTTGTTCAACCCTTTTAAGGAGTAAGACTTCCAAAACTCGATCAGTAATACATATTATAAGGTGTCTACGTTCCAACCTGATTTATTCAACATATGTTTTTCTAGTAGACCCACTGAGACTGTTGTTAAAACTGAATCATGGCAGTTTTGGAGGAGTTTCAGCCACACATGTCATGTCATAGGTTGCTTCTGAGTCATATGTTGTAGATGGCATAGGTCTTGTGTTTACTAACGTTCCGTGTAATAGTTAAATTTGAGACCACGAAGTGATCTTATAGCTCATCTTTGGATACGCCTCAAGGTATTCATACAATCTGAGCTGAAAGATAAAACAAGTTTAACCGGTTAAGACTCAAAAGTTAGTTGAAAAATTCCAACTATCGGGCTGTCTAAAAATTCCCTTCAGAGTTTTTAGTACATTCGCCCTAAAGGGATTCTTGTTATGGTAGGTAAGGTAACTTAAGTTCAAGGAAAGCAGGGCACTGAAATCAGTCTTGATTAACTAAAAGTTGCTGAGGAATTATGTGGGTTAAAGACGATATTCACACTGTCCTAAGACTACTTTATAAAACCTGATACAACTCGGTACTAGAAATAAAATACGTTACACAAATCATCATCGCCTGTCGGTTAACATATACCTAGGCACTTTGTTAAAAGCAGGTTGTTTTGTAAAGGGATCAGTCTCAGAGCATTTGGTCTTATTGGATATGAAGCGGTAGATGAGACCCCAAAATACATAGTTCTGTAGGTCTTCGGCTTTTGATGCTGACCTCGTAAGTTCTGATGGACACATCCAGCTGAGGGCACCTGACCATGCATCTGCATTGGGCCACGAGTTGTCACATCGTGATACACGTCTCCTACAACCATTAGTCAGCTTAGATTAAACGCCGCCCGATATCAGTCTTCAGTCTTCAGTAATAAGGATAGGAGGTCTATCGACCTATATTAATCCTTGCAGCTTGTAATACTGTGGAGGTCCAACCTCGTTTTGAATATATTAACATACGGTGCTGATATAACGTGTTCCGGTAGAGAATTCCAGTAATTCACTACTCGGTGCGAGAAACGGAACTCCAGGCGTAAACGGTTTGATCTCGGTTTTTGAATTTTCTCCGAATGTCCTCTCAAATGATCGGTTCTAGGAGGAAGCAAAAGATAAGACATGTTAATATCAAGGTCATCGTTCAGTATACGATAGGCCAATATTAGACCACCCCGTATTCTGCGGTAAGATAACGGAAATAAATTAAGGTGTCTCAGTCTGTCTTCATAAGATAGGCGAGACGGACCTTGTACCATCTTAGTACCTCGTCTTTGGACTCTTTCTAGCATATTTGCTTCATACTTGAAACAAGGATACGCTGCTTGAATCCCATATTCTAAATGTGGTCGCACATAAATCGGGTATAGTAATCTAAACATTTCATCATCTAAATACTGGAAAGACCTACGAATCGACCATAATACCCTGTAGACTTTTGCAGCAGCAGCCTTATAGTGACTAGTGGTTTTGAGATCATTGCTTAATATGACTCCTAAATCTTTATAGTTTCTTACTTTGGGTAGCACGAATCCACGTAGTGTATAGTCATACGATTCATCAGAGTTATTTAACTGCATCACCACATTCTTATTAGGATTTACTTCTAGTGGCCACCTGTCTAACCATGCCGCCAATGAGCTAAGATCGTCCTGCAATACTATTCTATCCGACATACTGTGTATGGGTCTCCAAATCTCTATGTCATCAGCGAAGAGTAGAACGGATGATTTTGCTACAGTTGGCAATTCATTTAGATAAAGTAAAAAGAGAAGAGGACCTAGGATTATTCCTTGGGGAACCCCACCTTTTACAGGTACCCACGAGGAGAGAGCCCCATTAACCCTTACCCTTTGTCTCCTGTCATAGAGAAAGCTACTTATCCAATCGACGACTGTATGATGGATCCCAAAACGTTCCAGTTTGAATTTAAGACCAGAGTGGGAAACCTTATCAAAGGCTTTACTTAGATCTATGAAAATCACATCCACAAGAGCATTTCGATCCTTTGCAGCAGCCCAATCTTCTCGTGCAATGACAAGATTTGTCAAGCAAGATAAGCCTTTCTGAAAACCATGTTGTGCCCTAGAGAAAAGATTTTGCTCTTCAACATAGTTTATAACAGCTATCCGAATGATTTTCTCCATCAGTTTTACAACTGCACTAGTTAAGCTAACAGGTCTATAGTACGTCTGTTTTCAGTTTTGTAGGAAAAAACAGAAACAGAACTGGCTTGGACTCAAATATTATTTGAATGACACTTGAATTCGATCGAACAATAGTTTGTATTCGGGTTGTAACAACGTTGGCTTTAGAAAGACCAGTTATCGTATTAAAGTGTGTTACCAGAGTGTTGCTATTCTGTTTAACATCAATAATCCAATATAGAATATTTTAGGAACAGTATTGGGACACCCTAAATTCCAAACCATGAGATGATTGAGATATGGGTACTTGATAGATTTACTACCCCAAATCAAACAATGTCAAACTCAAATAAATTCCACAACTAAACAGGAATGTACTAATGACGATCGTAAATATGGTTGTATGCCGCAACTCTAGATACAAGTTCACCTGAAACCCTCAATATTAGGATTTCATGAAGCCTAGTAAAAAAGAGTTAACCCCAAAGCAAGAATGAAGCCAAAAGATCAAAGCCGAATGCCTCAACGAAGCGAATTTACATGCGTACTTGTGGAAACCCGGTTAACCCAGTCTGAACTACCCTTGTAAGACAAATTTTCGAAATACTGCAAGTAAGGCAACCAGGACTTGTAATTTATTAAAATAACCTTCAGTCCTGTTGAGCTGGTAATCTAATCTAGACTGAATGGATTTGAAGATGAAGTAAGCTGAAATGATTTATCTTCTGTAGTAAATGTATGCCAATCAATAATGGTTCAAATAGTTAACTTGATGAGATAAACAAACATGCAGATGGACGAAAACATGTGGAAAGCCTGATGGGTTTGAATTCAGGATTAGTCATCCAAATGTGTAAAACAAATCCGGTGGAATCGGATTTAAAAATTAATCTCTCACTCACTTGGTCTGATAAATCCTCCTGTAGCTATTCTAGGGCTACTGCCGTCCCATGACCGGGTAAAGGAGAAGGGTTGGACATGGTATCGGCAACCTCATACAGTAGAAGACAACCTTGCTAAGAAAACGCTGAACAGAATAAACAGTTCAAAACATTTAAACTCTATTCTACGAGTCGAAGGAAGAATTATGACTGCACCGACGACAACAGAGATCAGTTCTATGAGAGGCTGCAATCAAACACAGAGAAGTGCCCAAGAAAGGATCTCACCATCTTGATGGGAGACTTGAATGTCAAAGTTGGAATAGAAAACCCCGGATATGAAGATATCATGGGATGACATGGAGTGGGGGAGAGAAAGGAGAATAAGGGGAGATTCGCGAACCCAAGTGTACTCAACAAATTGGTTATAGGCGGCACAATATTCACACACAAACGTATGCACAGAGCTATATGAGTCTCTCCCACTACACAAAGTGAAGTGGATCACATTTGCACTAGTAGAAAATTCAGAAGGACCATGGAAGATGTAAGAACCAGGAGAAAAGCTGACGTAGCTTCAGATCGCCTCCTGGTGGTTGCCAAGATAAAACTGAAGCTAAAGAAGCACTGAAAACCTGGAAAAACAGCGTCACAAAGGTTCAATACAGCCTTCCCTTGAGATAATTACAAACTTAGTGAATTCGAGATAACTCTCAAAAACACGTTCCAAGCCTTACAGGATTTACTGAGAGAAGATGGGACTACAATGGAGGACAACTGGAATGGGATCAGAGAAGCATTAACTTCAAAGTGTCAGGAGGTTCTGAGCCGCAACAAGCATCATCATAAGGAATGGATTTAAGTTCAGCCAGTGGTAAACAAGTATTGTTGTTTTAGGTGATTCTGAAATAATAGACGAATGTAGCACCAACGGATTCAAGTTGAATTATTGTGTTAGCAATTGCGATGCAGAATTATTTGTTCACTAGATGTTAATTCCAATAGTACCCTCTGGAGTTTATTTTGAATACTTTTTTAACTAACAACTACGTGATGGTTTATTCATTGTATCAGTGTCGCACGATAGTGCCTAATTTGGGTGACTTTATTATCTGAACTACGTTCAACGTCTTTTTAGGCAATTGTGATAGCCCAATTCCTAAAGCCAAATACGTATAACAATGACGATTATGACGGGTTTAGTGAAAATGTTAAAGAAGATCCAAATGATTGTTAAATTTTGCAGACATAGAGATATAATGTAATGTATGTACAGGCGAGGTTAACATGTTACGTCCAAGTTTTGCTCGTTCCAGTTATTGAAGTACGGACTATCGATCTACTCGCAAATTACGAACCCAAATTAACAACAGAACCAAGTCCCAATTTAGATACCAAATTTATTCGTAATTCACAAGTAATCGACCAAATGTCGTTCTAATAACAATAACTATAACACTTACAAAACAAACCTTCAATTTTGTAGGTTCCCGGAGCAAAACTTCCAAATACCAAACCAAAGACAAAGAGAGCACCAAAATACCAAACCAAAGACAAACCAAAGTGTCCGAAGTAATGATATAAACAAACAAGTTCAAAACTTAAGTAAAACAATTACATCCAAAAACACAGTAAATTAATAATGTACAATAAAAGGTTTTAATCCGCCAAATGTCTTCAGTTCTCCCGTAACACTCCCGACCAAAAGAACCTTGGTTCTTTTCACAGACAAATAAATAGACAACAAGAATCCAAATATATGCATCACAAACAATCAACAACAAACACTCAATATACCAACAATCTCGTGATCCCTAGGACTTACACCAGTACGCCTAGGGATCCGAGTAGCTACCTAATAGCTACAACTTCTAGACGCAGTTTTCTAATATCTCTTATCAAGATCCCTACGCTTGTCCGCAACTCCATCGGTCTTAACCCATCACTATTAGGTATCATTTTCATTACCAGACCTAATAACCATTTGTCTTTCTCTAAAACTCCAGTACATGTCGTCACCAAGTTACTCTCTCCTATGTTCATCTCTGGTTGAGTCCATTTGTGTCTAAGTTGCAACAATGAAACATATTCCTTAGACAAACGTTTCCAAAATATTTGCGCCAACATAAACAATCGCAATATCAACCATCTAACAAAATGCTTCATCCTCCATAGAAGCTCATACACGCTAACGTAAATATGGATATATAAACACATATAGAGGACCAATCCATTAATTCCTTTATTTACTGCGAACTCTTTATTCTGATTCCAAATCGTAACATTGGACCCTTCTAGTTCTTTTAGAGAATGAATAACCATAACACATGGCTTCAGGTACCATTGCATATTCACACACAAACAACTATTTGAGTCCGCAGAACATAAAGCCCATCTTCCAATCATCATTGGATTTAAAGTTCTTAACGGTGAATTCGTTATCTTCACCTTGCTAATAGTATCAGACGACAATATTTCAATCTCTTTCCGAAATACTCTGCATTGGACATATCGAATTAAATCTAAACAGGCTAAGTTTAATTCATCAACTCTGAGCATACCCACCTGTAGAGACAGATCTGTTCTACCAGAACGCATGATCAATAGATATCGCTTGAATCGGGTTAACCATGCAACAGCCTTAAGTAATTTAGTATAATCTGAATAGTAATTAATAAGTTGATCAACAGTGGATTTTTCAGCCATTACATGCGCCGACATTGCCTTCTTTACTTCCAATAGATGAGGGTCAGGACCTTGTACATCATCGGCAGGCCAACACTCCTTCGACTTCTTGAGAAAACGTGGACCCTCCTCCCATACCTTGACATCATCAATGCCAAACTTGACCCCTCTGGATGCAAAGTCTGATATGTTTTCTTTAGAAGGTACGAATCTCAATTGGTCCACCTTAGTAAGACTCTGAATAGTCGAAATTCGATTTGCTATGAATGTTTTAAACTGGCTTTTCTCATTTCTAATATAGTGTAAGACAATCATAGAATCCGTCCAAAAATTAACCTCTGCCAACTTAATACCTAATTCTGACTGCAGCTGGGATCCCATGCGAGCTGTCAAAACTGCTGCTGTAACTTCCAAGCGCGGTATAGCTTGGACCTTCGAGGGGGCTACTCTTGCCTTATCCGTTCGTCGTATATCACCGTCTCCCCACCACAATAGACGAAATGCTCCCCTGTCTTGTCTCGGAATCTTTATTTGAAGAAACATCTCTTCGATATCAGCAGCTAATGCTACGTTACCTAATCTGAATCGTAGAAGTACACCAATTAAACTATTTACAGTATTCGGTCCTCTCAAAAGCTGGTCATTAAGATAACAACCTTGATAGACAGCCGCACAATCAAAAACAATTCTCAATTTTCCAGGCCTTTTAGGGTTGATAACAGGATGATGAGGAATATACCAACAAACAGCATCATAGTCAAATCCCTCTTCACTAGCTTCAATGATGTAGCCCTTTCTTAAATGTTTATTCACCACTTGATATTTCTCCAAAAGACTGTTATCTTTCATAAACCTCCTCCTTAAGCATTCCAGTCTGCGTCCAGCTAGTTCCAAATTATTCGGTAGTCTTGGGTTATCATACTTCCATGGTAGACCAACTTGGAAACGACCACCCTCCAATCTAAACGAACTGCTAGCTATTTCTAGAGCTTTTTTATCTTTGACAGGATATCCATCACGAAACTTATTTGTATCCTCGAACTCATGATCATATAATCTTCCTAAATCTCGCAAAATATCATTAGTGGAACAATGACACCACTGAACTTGATGTAGAGACCTTGATACTCCCTTAGGACCTATAATCATCCAACCAAGATGAGTACGCACAGCAAACGGATGCTTCCTGTCCCCCAGACGTTGTTCCAGGACCCAATGTGCATCCGGAGCATCACATCCAATTAATATTCCTACGAAATTACTTTGCAACCTAGGAAGGGTTATGTCCTTCAGATGTTTCCACCGCTTCAGTTGGAGTTCGGTTAAAGGGGCTGCATGATCAATCGGAAGTTTCTTGGTCGTGTAAACTTTGTTGATCCTTATAGAACCCCGTTCATCTAATGAAAATACCTCTAAATTTACCTCCAAACATTCACAATTGGTAGTTCCGTTCACAGTAGCCACCCTTATCGAAGTCTCTTTACCTTTGATACCCAACTGGTTAATTAATTCTTCACATACAAGAGAAGTGTCCGAACCACTATCTAGAAGTGCATATGTTTCCAAACATCCTTTGGGACCGTATAGTCTGACTGGAACGATCCCCAAACAAACCTTTGAAGAGTTCCAATCCTTAGCTAGGTTCACCACATGGTTATCAGTACTATCAATATGCAATAATGAATTATGCCTAACCTTGCAATTCTCAACGTCGCACTTGAAGCCCGAGCTGCATGTCATAGCTATGTGACCTTTCCTCAAACATAAGTAACATAGACCACGTTTTCTTACCTCCTGCCTCCTTTCTTTTACATTCATTTTTGCTAACCTTGGACAATCTGTCGCCCTATCATAACCCAGATGAATGGGCAATGAGATGCAAGCTTCAATAGCTGTCCTGGCTTTTCCCTTACAATAGTATAACAAATACGACAACAATTGGCCCTTATCTGACAATTTACTCTCTATAAGGCTATTAAACTGACTAATGAAACGGTAATACTGACCCGGTTGCCCATCAAAGTACATCATATCGATCTTAGGTAAAACCATGTTACTAACCATTGTATGTAACGTATCCTTCAGTTCCTCAACCCAATCAATTTTTGAGATGTTACATACCTTCTCTGAATGATCATTACACCCAGTATCATAATCCAAATAATTTTTCACTTTAGCATTTATCCCACATTTATCTACGGGTAATCGTTCATCGTCCTCAATGGCCTTGCATTCTAGTTCAGCGATATCAACCTCCTCTTGTAGATCTAACATCTTAAGTTGCCGTTCTAATTCAAGTCTCTTCTCTAAATTCCTTTTCCTCAGTAATGCTTTATCTAACTTTAGTCTAGAAGTACTTAGCTGGTTAGAGGACATACTATTAAGACTAACATCATCACATTTATCATCATTAACATCAGACATACCACAAACAGCTTTGGAAGTTTTACCATCCATTTCGTCATTTTCCTTCAGCCTTCTGCTCCGTGTTTCCATCGTTATCGTTGTTCCGAATAATCAATCACCAAAACAAATCCGAATTAATCCAAACGAAATCCACCAATAAGACCAGGAATTTGGACCCAAAATATCCAGAAAATCCAAGGTATGAACACAGAACCAATAATTGAAGAACTTTATGTTACGTCCAAGTTTTGCTCGTTCCAGTTATTGAAGTACGGACTATCGATCTACTCGCAAATTACGAACCCAAACTAACAACAGAACCAAGTCCCAATTTAGATACCAAATTTATTCGTAATTCACAAGTAATCGACCAAATGTCGTTCTAATAACAATAACTATAACACTTACAAAACAAACCTTCAATTTTGTAGGTTCCCGGAGCAAAACTTCCAAATACCAAACCAAAGACAAAGAGAGCACCAAAATACCAAACCAAAGACAAACCAAAGTGTCCGAAGTAATGATATAAACAAACAAGTTCAAAACTTAAGTAAAACAATTACATCCAAAAACACAGTAAATTAATAATGTACAATAAAAGGTTTTAATCCGCCAAATGTCTTCAGTTCTCCCGTAACATAACATGCCGATTGATGAGGAATATTACAATTAAAAAATAATAAACTTGGCCAAAAATGTTTTGAAAGGGGTTTGTGTGGAATAATTACGGTTAGTCTAAGTGAAAATATATGCATGTTAAGTACAAATAGAGTAAATCATCCAGCAAAAGTCAAACTCGCCTGGATTATTTTCAGTATTTAGATTATCCGATGGATATGGCGTATAAAAAACAGTTGCGAGAAATGGTACAAACCCAAGAGTCCAGACACCTATGTAGCTATCGCTGTATGAACCATCTAAAATTAGGTTGACGTTGCAGAAACTTTATAGCTTAAACTCACCGTAAGTTTCTTGGGATGTTATCTTTGTTGTTTGGCGATGGAACTCGAAAATTGCTAATTAACCAGGAAGTGATCAGAAGAAAAGGATAGTCCATGGTTTGAAAAAGAGTAAAACGTTAGGAGAAACAAGATAAAGAGCTGGGTCAAGTTAACCAATCAGTCTTTGCTTGCATTGCTAGCCAATGTAAATATGAGTCAATTAAAGGCCATGTTTGCAAGTGCTTGATATTTTAATAAGTTTATTTCCCTGAAGCATGTTAATGCTATCAATGCTTGTTAATGAACCATCATAGCTAATAATTAGTATAGACGACCTGTTATTTGTATCGATTGAACTAACAAGTTATGGGTACTAATCATTATAGCATTACGATAATACACGTGAGCGTTAATCAGAGAACTAATAGAATAATGGGTTAACATAAGTAAAAATCGGTTGATAAACTTAGAGTGAAAATGAGGACTAATAAAAGGACTGCGTTTCCTTAGTCGGGCTTACCAATGCAGAATTGTAGTCTAAGTCATTATTGGTATTATTGTAATAATAAACCCAATCTTATAATTGTAGATATGTCATGTTGTGACTGCCCAGTCTACAAGATCATACGTGGAAGTCACATCATTATCTACATTGACTCAGCGTATCGTAAAAATTAACAATATGATATTCAGTACTTCTGAAGAACACATTTAAGCTAAAGATAGGATAATATGTTTAATCGGAATAAAGGCAAGTTATACACAATAACCACGTCTGCCAGGTTGAGCCATACCATCCGATTGAATTAGATGAATATTCCCGCTCTCTCCATCGTTAGCCTTCTCTTCATGTTGAATTGTTGAATATAAATCTTTCCAGTAATTTTATGCATGGCTTCAAAGCTCGTGCGGTTAGGTTCCAATGCCACTACAGAACAAGTATCGACAGTTTGGAGTGAAAGACACCTCAACAAGATCCCAAGTTAAGGAGAAATGGGGGAACGTGTGAATCACACTACTATCGGCACAACGAAAAGGTTTCAACAGTGTTATTGAACCGGATGAAAAATTCAGTGGACAACCAACTTCGAGATCAACAGATCGGATCCCGTAAGGACTGGTCTTTCACAGACCAAATCACGACACTACGGACCATCGTTGAGCAATCTAGTGAATGGAACTCGTCACTATACATCAACTTGCTTAACTGTGAGAAAGCGTTTGACAGTGTGGATAGGCGAACCACGTGGAACCTTCTTCAACACTATGAACTGAGTAACTGAGAAAGTAGTTAACATCACCAAATGGACTGCAGTGTAACTGGTGCATGGAGGACAGCTGACAGACTCATTCCAAGTGAGGACCGAAGTCAGACATGACTACTTACGCTCTCCCTTTCTCTTTCTTTTGGTGTTTGGCTGGATTAGGAAGGCCTCGACACCTGAAGGGAAGCACGGAAAAAAATGGACAGCTTGGATGCAGCTCGATGACTCAAACTTTTCTGATGACGTAACTCTTCTATCCCATACACAAGAACAAATGCAGGTCAGGACAATCAGTGTAGAAACAGCTTCTGTCTGCAACAGTAGGCCTCAAAATACACAGGGGAGAAATTAATGTTCTAAAATATACTACAGTGAGTACCGACTCAATCACGGTTGATGAAGCAACTCTGGAAGAGGTGGAAACTTCCTCGTACCTGGTCAGTATCACTGATAAAGGAGGAGGATCTGATGCTGACGTAAAGGCGAGGACTGGCAAAGCAAGGATAGAATTCCTACAACTGAAGAACATATGGAACTAAAAACAACTGTCAACCAATATCAAAGTCAGAATCTTTAATACAGTCCTATTTTACGGAGCTGAAACTTGGAGAACTACTATAACCATCATCAAAAATGCACATTTGTAAACAATTATCTACACAAGATACTCATTTTTCGTTGGGCGGATACCATCAGCAACAGCCTTCTGAATGAGAAAACAAATCAGCTTCGAGTTGAAGAGGAAATCAGGAAGAGACATTGAAACATTACGGAAATCACCAAAAAGCATCACGAGTCAAGCCCTGACTTGGAATCCTGAGGGGAAGCGGGAAAGAGGAAGTCCAAAGAAAACACTACGTCGGGAAATAGAAGCACATATGAAAAAGATGAATAGCAACTGGAAAGAACTGGAAAGGATTGCTCAGGATAGAGTTAGATGGAGAATGCTAGTGAGCGGCCTATGCTTCCCCATGAGGGGTAACAGGCGCAAGTAAGTAAGCAACTGGTCTGATCTCTTATACACTTCAAAAAAGTTATTACTTGTATAGATAGGTCATTCATAATGAAGTGATTGCTGCAATAATCCACCACTATTCCATGGAATTGAGTAGTCATTAGGCTGATCGATTAGATTTAAGAAGAGTTATGGGTAAGTTCAGTGACAATCAACTGGACGTGGATTACTCTCTTGTTTTTTATTGTAAGGTTAGTTTAATGTTTTTAAAAGGGAATATTTATCATTTCAAACTGTTAGTTCCCGGAAAATGTATCGATTACTATATGAAGTACTTTTCACTACTGATAATGGTAGTCAACGAATATCGTTTGCTTAAGAAATTAGTATCAACATGTCCTTCTACATTTTTGGTATGCGGTATTTGATGAGATTGTAAATGGAAAATCGAGGGAATAGTTTATACAGTATTTTATTGGTCATAAAATTTTGAAACCCAGGTGGAACTCCCTGCATTTGTATTTTAAACCAGCTGGATGTTGGTGGTTCTATACAAAAGTCATAGTCAACTTAAAAGAATAAACATCCGAAAACCGTTTATTCTGTAGTTCATCCGTATTGAAACATTGAGGTTTCCATTATAGTTAACAACAATAATACTTATTGAATTAGCTCACTAAGTAAGCTGCAAATCTTTTACAGAGTGAGAATTATACATAAAACTGAGCTGACAGTTTTGAAATATGTAACTAACTACTATCAGTCCAGGTTTGAGTTCAAATTGGTTCACTATCCATTAGCTTCTCTCTATCTTATTCCGTAAGTCCAAGAGAGAAGTTGGCAGACGGAGCTCTATTGTTACTACATATTAGGCATACGTGGGTTTATATACAAACATACCGGATAGCACCACACCATAGAATGAAAAATTGCAATCATACACAAATAACCCTAAAGTGGCCGTGGATAGGGGAAGCTGTGAGCAATAGACTGGGGACAAATTAAGAATAGTAAGTCGTATAACAGCCATTAATGGGTTAAATGTAAGCTTGTGATAAGCTGAACATATAGATATAGTAATCTAGTCAGTGATTATGCAGCAAAAAATAGTAATGATACGAAAATCAGTTAGAACCGATCCAATATTTACAATATTAGTCCTGTAGTCGAATTCGTAACAGTCGATCTCTATAACGTTAGCTTCTTATATCATAATAGTTCCCATTTATCCATCCGATCTTTTGAATCAACCTGCAGAAAGTTCATAGCTATTTCTAAAAAACAAACCACTGTGTTCAACATCATCCCCATGACTTACAGTTGCACTATGGAAAAGTTCCAATGAATAACAACGTTCTAAGCTTCTATTTGGTTTCAGTGGAGGATAGTTATACTGGCAATGAGATACTAAGAAATCAATGGAACACTTATTATTACTATCCTTAAATCAATAGAAAAATGTTAAAACTAACTCATAGGACAACAACAAATAACATGAAATTAAAAAAACTTATTAAAAACAATTAAATATGAGACAACATCAGTATGACAGCATTTAAGTGATGCTTGATATTAAAATCTCCAGAATGTAGTGAGCAGAACACGGGTGGGGACGATCGAATAAATTAAGCACTAATTCAATTTCTTCTTGACTTCTAGGATCATGTGGTTTATAAACAGATAATTGTTGCAACAATATATCAATAACGTCCACTTCACCTAATTGAAGACGATTAGCTTCATCCCTTTGTAATAAGATTGATAATAGCTCACTAACGTATAATTTATTTTTGTCAAATACTGGACATTTTTGTAAACGTCGTAGAAGCCATGCAAATAAACCTTGATTTGCCATTATCACAGTCATATCCGGACGAATTTCTAGTAAACTTTCAACAATTCCTAGTGTTTTATGCACACCGTCAGCTTCATCTTTCTTCGTCTCATCTAAACGTGAAATATTCCATATAAGTGATTGTATCAATTGTCCAGAAAACAAAACTTCTAAAAATTGATTAACTTTGTCTAATCCAGCTTCTTGTAAACAACTAGATTCAAGTAATTCATGCAACAGATCAATAACAGATAAACTAATATCTGTATTTTCATGAGCCAATAAACCTAACAATAATGATATGAGACGTGTTTGTTCTGCTAAGATTGGGTATAATTCTGGATTGGCTGCAAGCACCTGCATCTCCTCCAGTGTTTCTTGTAGTTCCAATTCTGACTGCATAAAACGCTTAGGTTGGTCAGGGAACTTATTTTGAACTACTTGGTTGCTTAGAGCACGCTTTTCAAGAAACACAGTAAGTCGACGGACAGTAGTCTCAGTCACTTCATTTGCTCCAACAGTAG